CCCTCCCTTCCTTCCCTTCCTTCCCCTTCCCTTCCCTTCCCTTCCCTTCCCCCTCCTTCCTTCCCTTCCTTTCCCCTTTCCCTTCCCTTCCCCCCCCTTCCCTTCCCCTTCCCTTCCCTTCCCCTCCCTTCCCTCTCCCTTCCCTTCCCTTCCCTTTCCCCTCCCTACCCCTTCCTTCCCCTCCCCTCCCTTCTCCTTCCCATCCCTTCCCCTTCCTTCCCCTTCCCCCCTCCCTCCCTTCCCTTCCCCTTCCCTTCCCTTCCCTTCCCTTCCCTTCCCTTCCTCCCCTTCCCTTCCCTTCCCTTTCCCCTTCCCTTCCCTCCCCTTTCCCTTCCCTTCCCTTCCCTTCCCTTTCCCTTCCCTTCCCTTCCTTCCCTTCCCCCTTCCCTTCTTCCCTTCCCTTCCCTTCCCTTCCCTTCCCTTCCCCTTCCCCTTCCCTACCCCTTCCTTTTCCCCTCCCCTCCCTCCCTTCCCTTCGCTTCCCCTTTCCCCTCCCCTTTCCCCTCCCCTCCCCTCCTTGTTTGTGAGGATGTTCTACAAGAGATACCTTGATTTTTGTAGCTTCTCTCAATAGAAGCTTTGGAAAGTGTCACTATTTTGTATAATGTGATTGAGGGTTAGTGTTATAATCTTGTGATTAATTATTTATGATTATTTTTTCAATTTTTTTAAAATTATGTAACACTTGCCATTTGAAGAAAATTGTGCAGCCAATCAGAAGTTTGTTATATGATGAGCAGCTTGATATATTGTGTCATGGTAAGTCTTCCTTGAACACATTCCTTACGAGGCTGTTAACAAGAAGTGTAGACTCCTCTAGTTATTAATTTCTTCCTCCTTAGTGTGTCAGGATATAGATTTTAATAATTGATAAGTAAATCTAAGGAAATATCATTATAAAAAGGGAAGGACCAGGTAAGGATATCTTGCCTTCATAATTGTTAATATGATGATGTTTGTTACAGCACTGATCAATGTACAGTTACTCTATTTCTGCTAGTAGTGTGGTGTAAAGCAGACAGCAGCTAATTCTGTCAAGAAAAGCTGGGTTTGATTTCAAAAATGAGTTTAACTAAATAAGTAGCATAGCATAATTTAATTTCCTATATGTCAAGGGTAAACTTTGATGTACTTACTTTAGCTAAATTTTTATAACTCACAAGATTTTTTTGAGCCAGTCACCATAACCAAGTATTCTAGATAGTTTGATGTAATAAGATGAATTTTTACCCTTTTTCTTTTCTTTTTCCCTTATCATTTGTTTCTGTAGGCTTGGAGACAGTGAGAGTGAGACAGATACTGGCACTGGGAGCAGTGATAGAGCAGGGTTTGTCCAGGAACTGTTACTCTCTACCCTTTGCGACCTAAGCCTAAGCCACGGAGTCATGGAGGAAGGAGGGGTCCTGGCATCTACCCTTGGCAGGACAGGAAGTGAAATGTCACATGGGAAGGACTCTAGTAAAGGTGATAGTGAGAAGACCCCGAAGGGTGTAGCATCATCTGACGTGTCGACTCAGACCTCTACTAGCACTCAAGTCCCCTCCAATACCACCAACACAACCAATACCCAGACTAACACACAGCTCCCAGCTATGACCCAGTCCAAGACCACCACTTCCATGAAGTCTGTCAAGGGGGCCAAGGGTGTTGTTGTAGCTCGATCTAGTCCGGCAAATCAGCAACAGCAACATCAACAACAGCAGCAGTCAAATGGAGGAGGGGTGGTATCACGGCCATTAACAGGGACGGGAACAGTGGCCGTTTCTCCAGTGGGGGGCCCCGGGAGGGGTCGAGCGTCGGGGGGCTCAGTGTCCCCGGGCGCAGCCCGCAGGAAGTTAGTGCGTGGAGTAGAGGGCCGCGCCACAGAGCCTCCACCACCTCACTAGTACCCGCAGAGTCTAGTCCAGCACCAGAAGGCCTTCCTGATGCCAACGAACCTTGCCCTTGCCACCCATGTCCCTGCCACCCTTGTACCTGCCTGTAGCCAGCCAGACCAAAGAGGCAGGCAGGATTCAGAAGTTACAATAAAGTTCTGCTAACGGTTTTGGCTTGGGTGTGAATGTATCAGTTAATGGATGTGGTTGGAAAACGTTGTGTCTGGGTGTGTGTCTGGTGATGTATAGTCATTTGTGCCACAGTCAGTGAAAGTGATCAAGACAGCAAGAAGACAGGCTGGCTTGGCAGACTGGCAGATGAGAAAAAAGGGGGCCCCTGGTGCCAAGATGAATTAATATGTACATATTGCATGCTGTTTAAGCATGCCAGGTTGCTGTGTATAAAATATGTTCAGGCCTTCATAATACTGCATAGCTTTACCCTAACCAATCATGAAATCACAATATTGGCATTGTCCTCAGTACTGTTCCTTCCCCATCCTTGATAACCAGAATCACTCAGAACTAGTTCCTTTGTAATATATATTTCAAATTGAGTATTAGGTTTGATTTCTTTTTTTTTCTTCTTTTTTTTTCTTCCATGTGGTTTTTGCTGACATAAATAGATTTTGAAGATTTTTGCCCAAATAGTGTTTGGAATATTTACAAATTGTACTTTTTGTTGCAAATGATATAACAGTAAGTAATTCTTATTATAGAGCTTCACTTTGCTTTGGTAAGATGATAATGGGTCACTCTCTTGCAGCCTAGTGTGAGACGTGTTATAAAATAAGTTATTTGGAAGCCATACCATTTTTCCCCAGTGCTCTAAGAGCTGAGAACTTTTAAACTGAACTAGGATGCAGGCACATACAGTGCCACTTAGCTTGTTACCCATCATTTCTTGCCATCAGTAGTAGTTGGAAGCCATGCCAGAATCCACATGTAGCATTTTTTAGGTGAAATCACAAATGTTCTGTGACCCCCAGGGATTTTCAATTACAAGCAGTTCATTAGAAATTGCTTCAAAGTCACAATGATACTTAATCAATAACAAGTAATTTGATCTTAAAGGAAGTGAAAAGTAATAAAACTGTAATAAAAGAGAGCAAAATAGAGAGAGGATGTTCCTGGGTGCAGGAAATGTCACTTTTACCGTCTCATGCTAGGCTGTCTGGTGATGTTTCATGGCACACTCAAATTATTCTACAGATGGATGATCATAAAAACCAAGAAACTTTTTTCTTCTTTTTTTTTTTTTCTTTTTTTTCTCTCCAGATATACATCATAGCACAGATGAGCTAATGTGTTTTAACATTTTTTGGGAATGTTTATGAATAAAAGTTGTATGTACTTTTAAGCTCATCTCTCTTTTTTTATATATATAAAGAGCAGTTGTATTTTGTGACTAGATCAGCAATTTGGGCCAAATAGGTCAGCCTAATATGCATTTCCCAATCCGCAAACGCATGGAATCCAAGGTTATTGGAGAAGTACACGAGGCACACATTAGCGGACAATATATGTGGAAATGAAGGGTTTACAGTTGATACGGAAAATTATGGCTTATATTCTCTTCATTGTTATTGTACATTGAAATAAAAAAGAACATACACTGTAAAGCATTATTGAAAATAGATGTCTCTGATTACAATTTCTCATTTCTTTCCATGCTTCCTCTGATTGACTATTAGAAATCCTTATTAGATTTATTATTACCTACATCGGTGACAGGAATCAGAAATATATACTGTTGCAGATTTTATGCAGATTATTTATGCTATTGTTGTAGATATATAAGTATTTATGTTTTTATTGCTATCAGTTTGATCGTTGGTATCATAATGTGCCCTTGGGTATGATTATGATGTTAAAGTCTGTTAATGTGTTGGTAACAGTGGTAATAATCAATAGTAGAGATAAAGAACTGGTTGCTGATATAAATGGCATATTCCTCAGCTCTGATGGAATATAAGTAAATCATAAATACTTTTGTTTATGGGAACGTGATTTAGTAAAGACTGCATTTATTTAATAGAGGTTAGCAAACTATGGGATGTCTCGCCCTTTATGATGTGTTGGAAATCTCAGTTGTAGGACTGGAGGATTTTTCTGGTTTATCAATAAATGAGAATGAGTGGCAAGGTTAAATTATTACTTTACATACTAACAGACATTTTTTTTTTCTCCTTTTTAGGAAAATCCGTATTTTTTTGCCTTTCTGAAATTAAGAACCTTAGTATATTTGTATTTGAAATTGTTTTGATGCACAAACAATACAGTAGCTACTACATAATATGGAAGTTATGTAATAGTTTCACATGCAGTAGTAGAATGTTTTATTCTGTACCTATTTTGTTTCCCAAATACATGAATCTAAGGAGCAATTAAGTAGTTAAGTGGTTCAGTTTAAGCTTACTAGTTAATTTCAGTCACCAAATCACTGTCATCATTTTCTTCCAACTGATGACTCTTCGTGTAACACATGATTTCAGTTGGCCTTGCATCAATGGTATTCCGTTATTTAACCCCATACCTTAACTGTTTGCAGAGGGAACAGCTTGCCAATGTGTTGACTAGATGAAAAAAAGTAGTATTTCTATGGATGTTGATTTCCAAATGGTGCCTGTGTAAAGAAAACAGATGTTTGGCTGTGTGTATCTGTATATGCGTGTGTATCCATACATGAAATGCACATCCATTTGCATAAATATGTATATATTTATAATTCTAGTATACAAAGGTTTGTTTATACACATCTTGCCATTTAAATAGGGTCATAGAAAGTTCTATATGTAGCATTTGATAGTGCTTGGACCTCTCATATTATTTGCATGTTTCCTAGACTCCCACTTCATATTCACTTTCAAATATTGCTGTGCACTTTAACATACTTGCAACATCTTTACACATAGAGGCAGTTGTGTTAATGTTTTTCAGTATTCTACCTAAAAAGCAGTTGTCAGGTTAGTTTCTTTACTTTTTTCCCCAGAAATGATGCCTTGTATGTGAATCCATCTCGTATAACCCATAAGCTTGTTTTCACATGGCTGACACTCGTTACTTTTTCTTAAACGGGTGCAAGATGCCGGAACTGTATTGTTAATGCTGAATAGCAATGGGATATTAAAGCTGTATTAATTTATTGGTTTCAGTTTTGATTATCACAAATTGAACTTGAAAAGATACATAGTAAAATGGATTTCTAATGAAAGTGGAATATGTTGTTCTGAGAGTGACTTTTCTCATTATTTTATTTATTTTTGGACTTCCTTATTCCTCAAGAGGTATTACTTGTATATACTTTTTACAGAGATAACATTGTATTTATTGATTCAGGGTTTTGGAAAGAATATAAGTGCTGTTATCAATAAACTATGCTAATTTTTACAAATCTGATGAATGGAATTTTCCTGCATAAATGTTCTCTTTCACCCATTTGTTACTCGTGATTCGTATTATTTGTGGCAAATGATGTTTTTACTATTATTAATGATGATAATGATTTTATTTATTTTTTCCCTTATTTTCTTTTTTTTTTTTTGCTATTGATTATATAATCTGAAGCTGCCAGGGATGACATGTAAATACATGCCATACCCACTGTGAGTTCGATTTATTAATTTTTACACATGGATAGCTCCACAAGTATGTAGTCATCAATGAGCCAAGTACTTGCACTAATTGTTTCCCTTCTTCCTTGATTTGTGAGAATATATGTATTTTTTGTTTGAATTGCTATTAGTAACGTCAACAACATAATAATGATTATAGTATCTATAAGGATAATAACAGCATCAATATTGATAGCATTAGTCAAGAGAAAATCCTGAAAACTCATGGAAAAGTGAAATCAAGAATGGTCACGAGATTTGCTAATTGACTCCTAGGTGGCTAAGCACTTGTGGTGCCATCTGTTTGTAGAGAGATTTCACAAAATACATTTTCCTGGCAGCAGTGGGTTAATATCATCACTACTCATAAGATTTAATTTTTTTTTTTCATTATTATTTTTAGTACAACTGGTTCACATTTATGATGATGATTGATCTTTTTTAGAATTATCATCCTATTGACAGTTGATATGATTAATGGAATCACTAAAGGTGTTCTTGTTACTTTTATTGATACTGTTGTTATAGTAATTTTTGTGCTAGCAGTAATAATTTAAGAGATGGTTAAAGTTTTTTTTTCCTTCTTTTTTAATTTACTACTAGCTCTTCATTTTTAACAGTAATATTTTGTATTATACGTTTTCTGGAATTATTATTATATATTATTATTATTATTATTATATATTATTATTATTATTATTATATTATTATTTTATTATTATTATTATTATTATTATTATTATTATTATTTATTATTATTATTATTATTATTATTATTATTATTATTATTATATATTATATTATTATTATTATTTATTATTATTATTATTATTATTATATTTATATATTATATATTATTATTATTATTATTATATTATTATTATTGATTATTATTATTATTATTGATTATTATTATTATTATTATTGATTATTATTATTATATTATTGTTATTATTATTATTATGATTATTATTATTATTATTGATTATTGATTATTATTGATTATTATTAATTATTATTATT